GACGATTTCTTGAAAAAGACCTGAAAGACGATCCGATGTACCCAGATTTCTTTACTGCAACCGAGACAGATTTAAAGTTAAAAATCCCTACGACTTTAAAGAATCTGTTACTAATTAACGATTACGAAAGTGAGGTCCTTATATCTAATGCTTTATTGAGTCTCGTCAATTTTAGAAGGTTACGAACCTGATAATACAGATTGTCACGCTTGTCGGAATACATAATTAATCGATTAGAAGACGAAACGAAAGTAGAAAATTAACATGTCTGTACGATACAAAAATTGACTATGATCTAAAAAGGTAGCAGCACGACAAAGTCAAATTTTGTTTATCAACGGAATGTATGTCTCATGAAGGTTTTCAGTGTCTGTTTGCAAATTTAAACTGTTCTTCTGTTTCTTAATGTTAATCATCTCAGACATTAGACGCATTTTCCTGTAATTAGGTTCTTCATCAAGGATTTCTACTTCATTCCATCGAAAATCATGGCCGTGCTGCAACCTATGTTCGGTAATCACTCAACGAGTTGTCGTGTTACGTTTAATACGGTTACGATGTTCAGATATTCTCGTTTTTAGTTGTCTACCAGTTTGGCCGACGTAAGACGCATCGCAATCATTGCATGAAATTTTATAAACTACGTTGTTTCTATAGAATCTTTTGAGAGAAAATCTTTTTGTACTTTAACATATTTGTGTGTGCTCATTTTGTTCGGGCTACGAAAAGAAACTCTGATATCATTATTACGAAATCTTTTAAATTTTTCCGTGTGACAAGGAACGAAAGGTACCATAAGCCAAAACACAGACTCTGAATTATTTTGAATATTGGTAGGTTGGTCATTAACAATATATTTATTTTTTAATAAGTATTTTAACCGTTGATTAATGGTATTAAAAATGAAAAGTAAAAGATAATCGTTATCTAGTAAAATATTAATAATGAAGTTGAAAGTCTTATAATGAAAACTAATATCCGACAGAAAGAAGACTCTGTCGACTAAAGAAAAGACTGTACCTTTTTTCTGAGATAGTGGGTGGTTGGAGAGGAAATTCAAAAACCTATCCGAAAAAGTAGGCTTTCAGTACCAATCAAAAACTAATCTATTATCCCTCTTACTCATAGAGACGTCTAGAAACTCCAATTTATCACCTCCAAATTCAACGGTAAATTGGAGACGAGGATGAAATTCATTAAATTTACACAATAATAAGTTTATATCCGACGGATCAACCGCCAGGCACACATCATCCACGTATCTGTAATAAAAAGAAGTTCTCTGTTAAACGACAACAACGCTAGCGACTCAAGCTTTCTCATAACTAGGTCCGCCACAATAGATGATAGTGGTGAACCCATGGGTGGTCCAAATAATTGCTTATAAATCTTTTTATAAAAAACGAAGTATGTAGAATTAAAAACAAGGTGTATTGCCTCCAAAAATTCTAAGTCTGTGTCTTGGCTTACGGTACCTTTCATTCCTTGTCACACGGAAAAATTTAAAAGATTTCATAATAATGATATCAGAGTTTCTTTTCGTAGCCCAAACAAAATGAGCAAATATGTTAAAGTACAAAAAGATTTTCTCTCAAAAGATTCTAGAAACAACGTAGTTTCATGCAATGATTGCGATGCGTCTTACGTCGGCCAAAGTGGTAGACAACTAAAAACGAGAATATCTGAACATCGTAACCATATTAAACGTAACACGACAACTCGTTCAGTGATTACCGAACATAGGTTGCAGCACGGCCATGATTTTCGATGGAATGAAGTAGAAATCCTTGATGAAGAACCTAATTACAGGAAACGCGCCTAGTGTCTGAGATGATTAACATTAAGAAACAGAAGAACAGTTTAAATTTGCAAACAGACACTGAAAACCTTCATGAGACATACATTCCGTTGATAAACAAAATTTGACTTTGTCGTGTTGCTACCTTTTTAGATCATAGTCAATTTTTGTATCGTACAGACGTGTTAATTTTCTGCTTTCGTTTCGTCTTCTAAACGATTAATTATGTATTCCGACATGCGTGACAACCTGTTATACAATAATCGTGTGTTGATGAATCCATTAATTAAGGTTTGGAAACTAAAATTTAGTTCTTGTTAATCATTTATATATTAATAGTTTTTTAGTTTATAAAAGAGAATGTCTTGATTCTTCCACAGATTTATAACCGATCTATCAATCGTTTGTAATGAATTCCTTACTTTGATGATGGATTCATCTTTGATTATCAATGATTTTGTTATTTGCACCATGGTTTTTTGTCTGTTACTTCTGAAGAAGACTCAATCCATGAGTCGAAACACTCGAAACATGTAAAGTTAAATTTTAAAGATTTGATGATTACGGTTATAATAATATAATATATTTATTCACTTCAGCTTTACAATAGCCAAGAAGGGGACTTGGTTTACAATACCACTTATCCACACATCCTTCCATACCTTACATGAGCTCCTTCGCAAATACTACCTCATCCTAACTAACCTATTCGCTTTTCCTTTGGGCCACTAGCATATTGCTAGCTTGTCGCATTAATACATTAGATGATTACGGTTATATATTTTTGTAAAAGTCTGTTCTTGTTATATATATGTATTTTTTATATCTTCGAATTTATTCTCGCTTTCTTGTCATTTTATGTTATTTCATTTTATCTTTTGACTCTACGCGATTAAAGAAATTTTAATGTTTGACTCTTCATTTGTCTTTTTAGTTTTTTATTTTATATTTTGCTTTAACATTCGGAGAAGAATTGAGATTTATGCTAAGGATGACTCCAAAGTAGAGACGAAACGTTCAAGAATTTTTAAGAAATAAATAGATATTACGTACTTATAAGCACGTTCGACTCTGAATTACCTGATCATTGGATCCATATTTAATTTTTTCTTATGTTACATAATTTGAAATGTTCTATAGCATGTCTCGTACTTTTATTGTAGTCAACGGCTAAATGAAACAGCAAATATGTCAAACACCACCAAGCTCATATAATGCATGTGACTATGTAGGTACTGTGACGTTGCAGTCTCGCTGCAGCGTCGCAGCGATCCTTCGCCGTCACAAAGCGCGAATTAGCGTGTGACCCGGGCCAGGAATGGCGAGCGAGCGAGATCTCCAGAGGCCGAAGTAGTATTTTAAGTATTATTTTCTAATCCCCGCACTTTATTTTGTATGAAAATGAGTGGCGCCTCACCGAAGAACGAGTACACGGCCGCAGGAAGCAGGGGACAGAGGAGGAGAGAGAGGAGAAAACAGTAACCCGCGGCCAAGGTAGTGGCCGGTGGGCCTGAACCGGAGCGAAGTGGGAGCCTCAGGAGGGCCGGGCGTTCAACAAATGAAGAAGGAACTCCTCGAGGAGGTGCGAGCCAAACGAAGAGGATAGCCGTACACCATTCGGCGAGAAGGCGGACCGTCGGCAGCGATAAGTAGGCTGCCGGCATGAATTAAGCTCGTGGGGCCTCGAAGTTACCCCTAAAGGACCTCGCCGGGTACGGTACTATTCGCGAAGGATCGTGAGAATGATTATTGGCCGCGGAAAAGGGCGGCGTGGCTGCGCGCCCCTCGGAAGAGGAGAAACGTATGGATCGCGCAACGATCGCAATTTTCGTGGCATTCCGTTTTCGGCGTTATGAGCGTGCGTACGTCTCGGCCCGGCTACGGATAGAGTGGACGATTTGTGCTCCCGGACGAGAGAGAGAGAGCGAGAGAGACTGCCCAGCGGACGGCGTACCGGATTTCGCGGTGAGGTTGCTCTTCGATTCTTAAGATTGTAAAGTCGCATGCATCGGGGCGAGGGATCCTCATGTTCTGTAGTCGAGTGTCATTAGTGAATTCTCGCGGGGCTGCCATTCGCGGCACTTTGGTGTAAAGTATCGTTTAGTGAGACACTCGGCAAGCGCGAGAGACTCCCAAGCTCCCGGATAGTCGGCTACCGGGGAATTAAAGTATCGTCTAGAATCTCGGGCCTCCTAGAGATCGCGCTGGTCGAGAGTCGAAAAGCCCATGCACGTGCGGTGCATGTATCGCGTCATTGGTGTGAGTGCGACGGCGCGAGTCGCGCGCCCTTGTAATGTATTAATGAATGTTGACACTATTTTGAGTCGCGGACCCGTATTCATAGTCCTTCCTTGAGGAATGAGGATTCCTTGTTCCTCATTTCATGTTTCATAGATCTTCCTTGATCAAACAAGGAACCTTATTAGCTTCCTTTTCTTAAGGGAGGTTACGAGTTTCCTTGAGGAAGAGATGCAACCTTTATAACCAAACAAACCTCTAAAATTAGTTTGTCTCTGTTGTCACATTCAATCTATGGTTTTGTAGTTACTTGTATCTTGTTTTCAGAGTATAAAGGAAAATAGAATAATAATAGTCTTTCGAAAATATTTGAAATATAATGGATAATGTATTTATAAATGATTCTGACGATGAATTTGAAGACGAAAATCCTGAAGATCGAAATTTGTGGCGGCTTGCGAAAAGGTACATACGTAATTGGGAAAATCCCATAGAATTTTTTGAAGATATTCCTTTTCGGAAAAGATACAGATTCAGCAAAAGAGCTGTGATCGAAATCTTATTACCTATTTATTTAGTTATTATATTGTTAGTAAGTGTGATAAAATTTTATTGATATTTCTTTTATTTAATAGAAACTATACTTACTATAAACAACGAAACCCTGCTTGTTTAGATTTTAGAACGTTATTACTTTAAATAAAGAATACTGTAAATTTGTGTTTTTGTAATAATAAAAATAAATGAAACATTCTTTAAATTAAAATGTATTTTTAATTATCACGTTTATACATTTGTATGAATTTATTTTACATTATTAGAATATGTATAGGCTGAATATAAAAATATAAATTTTAATATGATTATAATATGGTTATAAATATAAATTAGAATATGTATAAGCTGAATATATGAATATAAAAAATAAAATTAGTTCATACTGTTTTATGAAAAATGTCTTAAAATAAAAGCGTTTCTATGTACAAGTCCTATTCCATCTTGTTCTCGATTTACAATGTTTTCAATTATAGGTTCGTTAAATACTTCTTCAATCACTTCGCCTAAATTACATTTAATGCACATATTGTGCAAAACGGCGGTGGCGCAAATAATTACCACTGATGTGCTCAACTTTGTGCGTAAGCCATAATATAGACATGGAAATCGACGTTTCCAACATCCAAATAACTGTTCAACGATAATTCGCGTTTTCTTGTGCGCAGTATTGTACCGAACTTCTGCGTCTGTCTCAGGTCTTAAAACAGGTGTCAATAGATAGCTGCGGCACGCATATCCACTATCAGCAAGTAGAATTCCATCTAGGCGTCCCAGATCGAAACGACAGCGCAAACCGCTTCGATCAAATATCACGGCGTCGTGAGTTGAACCAGGATGCCTGACAACGATATCAAGAATTTCTCGTTGGGATCCACTTACAACCTATAAAACAATAAATCATAAAAATTGTGAACTTATTATTAATCCATTCATAATCATTTGACATACAAAAAAAGAACACTTGAAAAAATATACCTGTACATTTAAAGAAAACTATCCTTTCTATTCCGGAATACTTCTCCATAATTCCGTCCAGGATTTGCAATGCGTATATGGGTGCAATCAATACACCCTATTATAGATGGAAAGTTGGCAATCTCATAAAATTTATTTTTATTACTCCGACGTTTTTCTTCGGTAAAAAAATTAATATATTCACTTAAGTGTGATGCTATAATTCTGGAAACTCGTACAATAATTCTTGATACTGTAGCTTGGCTAAATCCTCGCAAGTCTCCATTCACAATCTGTAATTATAACTGCATATAAATAAAATTAAAATGAATTATCTATTTATTTATCGCAGTGTTAGAATAAAATTTACCTGAAAGCTACTTGTTGCATAAAAACGCAGTGTTACTAAAAGCTGCATCAGTGGGGAAATCGGCAGTCCACGATTATCCAATCGCCTCAGTTGAGCATTTACCAAAGGTAATAAGATTTCGATCACAGCTCTTTTGCTGAATCTGTATCTTTTCCGAAAAGGAATATCTTCAAAAAATTCTATGGGATTTTCCCAATTACGTATGTACCTTTTCGCAAGCCGCCACAAATTTCGATCTTCAGGATTTTCGTCTTCAAATTCATCGTCAGAATCATTTATAAATACATTATCCATTATATTTCAAATATTTTCGAAAGACTATTATTATTCTATTTTCCTTTATACTCTGAAAACAAGATACAAGTAACCACAAAACCATAGATTAAATGTGACAACAGAGACAAACTAATTTTAGAGGTTTGTTTGGTTATAAAGGTTGCATCTCCTCCTCAAGAAAACTCGTAACCTCCCTTAAGAAAAGGAAGCTAATAAGGGGGTCGATTCTCTAACTTTTAACATGGTGAAAAGGTGAGCCAACTCACATCGCGTGATTCCCTAACTTTCATCATAGCGAAAATGTGAGCAATCTCACGGGAGTTCGTTCGGCAAGAAATTTCTTGTCGAAATAGTGAAATCCGAAAGAGAGACTGAGTAAAACTAAAAAAAAACTATAGCAGCGTGGCCGCTGTCGGCCAGCCGTAGCATCGTGATGCCAGTGACGCGTGCAGTGACAGTTTAAGGTTAGAAAGGTCTTTTGTTATAAAACCCAAAGATAAAAAGTTATCCCTAATAAAAATTTTTTTTTAATTTTCATACGAATTAAGTTTTTTAAAAAATACATTTTCTTAAAATTTTTTTCAGAAATGGCAATATATATGGCTGCTATTTTATTTGGCGATGAAAATAATTTTGAAGATAATTTTGAACCGAATAATCAAATAATGAGAATTCAGAGAAGAATATTAAGAGATACGTCAAATCCTTTCTCAGTTCCTGAAAACGAATTTCGCAAGCTATACAGGTAAATTTTGATACTTAAAGTCCTTAGTGGCAAGATATTATATTACAATACTTGATTTTATATATAT